GAGGTCCACCCATCATACCAGGCATGGGTGGCGGTGGAGGTATACCACCCAACATACCGGGTGGGGGCGGCGGCGGTGGTGGAGGTATGCCTGCCATACCGGGCATCGGAGGTGGTGGTGGCGGAGGAATACCCATCATAGGAGGGGGCGGTGGAGGCGGAGGTATAGGCGTTGAGGGAGGCATTGGTGGCGGAGGAGGCGGTGGCGTCGGATGAGGAGCTACTGTTAAGCCCGGCAAAGCAGGCGCTGGTGGTGGAGGTGTAGGTGTGGTGCTGTCGTCGGACTCATTGGTGTTGAGAGGGGGTGAAGGAGGTGTGGGGTCAGTGGTGTTGGCCTCCAGAGCGGACATATGCGGCGTCGCTGTCATCGATCGATAGCACCGGTAGACAGAGTAGACGACTAGTGGGGCCGAGATGTAGGAGAATAGTGTGTCGAGTATGATATGTGAGTCAAATGGGATTCAATGGTATAGGGATCAGTTCGGGTGATGGTATGGGACGGCTATATACGACCGCAACTTATGGTTAACACAAAACATAAGGCATTCATAAAAACCAAACCAAAACTGAAACAACAAAATGAAAATCAAAACTAAAAAACAAATCTTTTTATACAAATTAGTGGTAAAAAACGAATTGATAGACAAAACAAGTGATGACTGACTGAACTGATTGCGAAAACCCACTTACCAGGGCTTAATTAAAACCGATGTATAGTTGAGTCGATATAACACGAGTCGCTGTACTATAGGTTTGCATTGAGACTCACATTCACTCGACTCTATCAGGAATTCATGCATTTGTTTCAATCCGTGGATTAAAAATTGTCGAAAACTTTTTATAAGTGAAAAGTATAGCAAAGTCTTTACAATGGCTTTAAACGTGCTTTAAATTGAATGTCGGAAAAGAGTTTAAACTTATTTAAACATTAGTTTTAGGGATTCACTCAATACGGAAAGCCATATAAAGTACAAAATTATGTTTAAAATAGACTCAAATGTATGAGAAATGTATGTTTGAAATGAGTTTTGATGGCAAAGAGGGTTGAGTTTTGTTCACGAATTCCTGTTTTGCTTAATATAGGGATAGATTCACGGCTTAAGTCTATTAACTATTACTGTATACAGTACTTGTAATTAATTGTACTGTAATTCATAGGTTTAAAGTTTAAACTTAACAGTTAAGGACTGAAGTGCACCGGTAGGTCAAACACTGGACATTATTTGATAATTGGTGTGTAATTTGAATAAATTCTGATTAATGGTTACATTCTTCATATTTATTGCATTTGAATAACAATTTTATAAAACTGTAATAGGAATAACTGAATACAGATAATAAGCATAGTTTGCCCAATAAATGTACTAGTATAGGTAATGAATACTATTCCACTAATAGATAGACTCATAAATATCCAATAAATGCCCAAGATCTTCAACCAGTAGTTATAATTAAAACTATTTTCACTATTATAACTATTTGATTTTAATAAAATTTAAATTTAAATCAAATTACTAAATTCTTGAAATTATAATTATAATTTTAATTTGAAATTTATATTCATGTATTTCATCAAATATATCATCAATTTATAAATAACTTTCATAAGATTATTTAAATAATTTTTTTATCTAGCATAACCTGTACTAGGGATAAGTGAAAGTTAATTAGTGTAATAATTAGCTAATTTTATCAATACACATTACAATGTTTATCACAAACTATATCATGTTTATTTAAGTTACATACGATAGTTTCACTTTATAAATACTAATTAATTTATTGCAAGTAATTCACAATCAAAATATAATTGCAATTGAATGACATTTTATTGAATTTAATGATAAATGTGTGTTATTTAAATGACAATAAAAATAGTTTACTTCTCAATTATCAGACAATAAAAAATAAACTAATTTTTATGTGCCATAAAAGTGCTATAAATAAATTTATAATACAGTAATGTACAAAGGGAAAACGTTATGTGTCAGTCCCCTATCATATCATATCAATCACTATCAAACTTAACAATGATACAGGTCATATTATCGCCACCGATACCGTTATAGGGTCTGACGGGTGACATACACCTGAATACTAACTCCTGGCATATGTCGACCAACTTTTCGGCCCGACCTATGCGTTTGGCCACGAATTGGGAGACCTTATGGTTGGGCAGGGAGTTCCAGATGCCGTCGCAGGCTATGACCAGAAAGTCATCCTTTCTAACCTTCAGTTGTTTGGCTTTGATCTCTGGCCACGCGGTCACCATCTGGTCCTCAGCCGGCGCACCCTTATTGCGTTTGTACTGATGATCGCCGAAAGCGCGCGAAAGGTTTAGGCCCCCATTAATGCGGCCCTCAATCACATGCCCGCCCGACCTCTCGATCCGTTTCCTCTCAGCCCTGTCCTCGGGCTTGTGATCCGTGGACAGGGAGGAGGTCTTTCGCGATTTGCTGATCAGGCACCGGGAGTCGCCGATGTTGGCCACGTATATCACGTCGTTGTCATTGCTGATGAGCACGACTAGGGCTGTGCAGCCGCTGGTGACGGCCGGCCGGTCGTTGGGCGACATATTCTCGCCTAATATACCGCGCCTTAAGGCAAACAACTGGTCGTTGACTACTTTGGTCAGCAGTAAGGCGTCGAAAGCCATGAATGTCTCCTCGAGGGCGCCCTCGATGTCTCCCGTCTGGAAGCGCTTGTTAGCCCTGAGGAGGTCAGGGAGGCGTTGGGCGGCATAGAGGGCTACTTCGGGACCGTTGTGTCCGTCAAACACCGCGAATAGCGAGTGCTGGCCGTCAAAGTTGGTGAGCGTTATGTGCGAGTCCTCCTGATATTTACGCCATCCCTGGACAGAGCACATGCCATATGATAGGCGGTCCTGTTTGGCACCGGTAGCCAACTTGGGTCTCGTGACGGCCGACTTCAAGTAGATTTTGGACAGCATTTCCTCCACCCGACAGCTATTATATGCATTTTGAAGCGATTGACTGAAGATTTTGTTTGAGTGAAACATCTCTCCTGTTTGAGATCCAGTTGTCAAACGGATGTCTCGTTTTGGTTATTAGTTATTAATATAATAGTATTTTTTGTATATAATAATTATCAGTACAACACTATTGCATGAATGACTGAATACTAGTGAATATTATTGAATACTACTATTCTGTACTGAATTTTCAAATGTAGTGTTCAATCAATCAAACACTGATTCACAATGAAATATAAAAACTTTTTTGTCGCACTAAGGATATGATATATTTAATAATAAATATGAATATTGAATATATATTTATACGAGAGGACGAGCAGTGATTGTTTGGAAAAAACTGTTTTGTTTGATGTTTCAAACATATAAATCATTAAAACATTAATATTTAGTGCGAGTGATACGGCAATTGGCGATGATATGAGTATATAATAGGAGTTTTACAGCTATTTTGTTGTGCGATTTCAAGTGTATTTCAGTATGTTGTGTTAAACACCAGGGCTTTTATCGGCAAATGTACTAAAAATATATATATTTCATTTGATGATTAAAATAAAAAGTAAAACACATATATCAGTGATAATGAGTGTATGAATATTTTGAAGGCAAATGCTGTCATAAAACAATTCAATCCCTATTCGCGAGCCAATGGTAGGCTGAGGTGTGGAAATGTGGTGTAGGGACAGGTAGTTTATGAGCCGTTAGTACGATGTTTAGGAGTGCAATATTAGGTGTTTCATAAGCACTCATAAAGTGTTATGTGTTTTAAATCGCGTTATCAGATCCACGAGTTAATCACACTTTACTTGTTTTATGCGATTTTCACGACAACCTGTCGACAGATATATTATTTTCTGTAAACGATTACATAAAATAAAATATAATACATTTCTTGCTGTCACTTATTTTATATGCGATACTGTTTTGTGGGCACAAATACTTTTGTGTTTTCAGTTATGCAGTGTTATGTGTCTTATCTGACATAATAATTGCACTGAAATTATCACTACTTTTACAATAGTTTTATACTTTTTTGTGTTTTTGTATTAAGTGTTTGACACGAGAATGACTTGTAATTATGATTTCCAATGATGTGATCAGTTTTTGTGGCGCCGGTAGCCATGGGGGTGCAGGTGGGGGATAGGCATGTCTAATAATAGCATAGGCTTTGATAATATTCTTGTATATAAGGCTACTGAATATTTACCATGTTACACAATATATTTTGAAACTATTCTAAATATGCAAAGTAATTATTTTTGAATATAATTTATAGTTAAATATCGGAATAATTTTTATGCCAGTTAATATAAAATTATTAATTTTAGTTCCGCATAGAAAGGTATTAATAGTATCCATGTATTTATGATATAAGAGTATTAAAAAAGTCGTGTATTTTCCAGATAAGCCACAAATTCCTGACAAGTAATCTAGCGATTGGTTTATATTTACGTCAATTGCATTAAATTATTAATATAATGTATATTTAACATATAATATGTATTTTGTTTTGACATAACATTTATATAATTTCATTACCAACTGATCGCCAAAACTATGATTTATTTGACATTTGCAGTCGTGTTGTTGTTGTGGTATTTGCAATGCGTTTGTAATACAAAACTTTGCGTTAAATTAAATGCATTTAGGATTCCTATCGTAACTAATGTTTTATTTAATCTCACATACAATTGGTTTTCAATTTGTAGCAAAAACCTAATAATTATTATAAAGTTATTCCGATTGAGGGCTCATTGAAGGGATATATTCAGCACTTTTTCTCACTGAATATATTTCTACCGACTAATAAAAACTGAGATTTCATTCCCAGATATTAAGGAATTGAGTGAATCGTAAGAATTAATTAGTGATAGAAATAAAACTCTTAATGAGATTCTCGTGTCAATTGTTATGTAATTTTTTCATAACTCATTAAATTCAATAAAATGTCATTCAATTGCAATTATATTTTGATTGTGAATTACTTGCAATAAATTAATTAGTATTTATAAAGTGAAACTATCGTATGTAACTTAAATAAACATGATATAGTTTG